ACCGGCCTACAACTGGGAAATACTTTCCGGTCTCTAGTCGGCCCCTCAATTCCGAAAATACCCATTTTGAAGAGTATTCGACTGTCTACATGTCTACATGTGGTCATCGTTCCGAAAATACCCATATTGTAAGGTATTTGCCACTATTTCGGAGCCCGATGGTCACCATCTAAGTTCCAAAATGGCAACGGACATCGGTTTTTGGCATCTACACGTTGTTCCGGTTCCGAAAATACCCATATTGTAGGGTATTTGACACTTTTTCTGAACCCAATGGCCGCCATATTGCATTAAAAAATGACGTTGGACATCGAGTTTCGGCCTCTACATGTCATTCCAGTTCTGAAAAAAAAACCATAATTATGGGTTTTTGACAGTTTTTGGAACCCGATGGCCGCAATATTGCATTTCAAAATGGCATTGAACATCGATTTCCGGCATCTACACGTCATCCCCGTTCCGAAAATACACATACAGATGGGTATTTGAAAAACAATCTGAACTAGAGTGCCGCCTTCAAAAATGACATCTTACATCGGAATCCGATGGCCGCCATATTGCATTGCAAAATGGCATCGGACATCGATTTCCGGCATCTGCACGTCGTCACCATTCCGATAATACCTATCTTATGGGGGTTTTGACACTTTCTGAAACCGATGGCCGCCATATTGGATTCCAAAATGGCATCGGAATCGTTTTCTATGGAATGGCTGTAAACATGAAAGCCAAAAATCAATCGAATACAAGTCAGTCAAAAATATACTTTCAAATAGTAGTACAATAACAGGCGAGCAAATGAAGTTCAAAGTGGCCGTTTTCTAATCCCCAGTTTCAACGGGTAGTGTGTGTGTGTGTGTGTGTGTGTGTGTGTGTGTGTGTGTGTGTGTGTGTTCCCCCTAACCCCCACTGGCCGGCAGTGTTATTATGGAAGAACTCTCTCTACAATGCCGCATTTATGGTCATTGTAGACAGCTTTAGTCCGGGAGTTAGAAAGTGATAGCTCTATTGCAGATCCAGCAACCCATTTCAGAATGTCTGGAGAGTCACGCCCATTCCGAGGTTACTTTCACTTAGAATACGCCCCGCATGTATGCATCACCGTTATAAAATGGATATTGGTATTACATACTCGCTTCTACTCGGTATTGCATACTCGCATACTGGTATTACATACTCGCTACATACTCGAAAATATTCTTTTCAAATCTGGCACGTATTTAGTTTATGTTTTTTTTAATTGCTAAATGTATTTGGGCTGGTCTCACCATGTTAATTTGATCCTCCAATCCATGCGTTCCGTAATTTTGATTTTCTTTAAGCTTTGCATCTAATTTCGTGATGCACCTTTGTCGTAATACTTCCTTCAACGAACACAAATTTTCATGCATTTCCCGTCAGTCTTGGGAGCAACTGCCACCCGTCCAGTCTTGGGAGTATCCAGCGAGGCATCTTTCATATTGCTCGCAATCTCCGACACCGGAGAAAGACCAGCAGCCGAGCACTTTTGCAAGCGAAAAACTTGCCACCGAATCACCCGAATTCCCGGACTAATTCACCAACCGGACCGATCCCTCAATAGAACTACACGCCAAAAGTGTAGCATCCGAACTCGGAGAACCGAGGCAATGAAAACCGTCACCGAACAATAGAACTGAAGCTGCGTCGTATATTTTGGAGGTTATATTCAAGGTCAACCGAGTCACTCAAGGCAAACACAGACAAAACACGATATATCACTAAATGATAACTTTATGAACTTTGAAACAAAAATTTCAACACACAAATTAACAAATTTAAAGCAAAAAATTTAAATTAATTCGCTGACGAAAAATACGCAGCAAAAGAAAAACACGTCAGCTATCAAGCGCGGCCTACTGCGATTCCCCCAGTTTCAAGGGGTAGTGTTAGTCACAAATTCCGAACAAGACTAATTTTTTCCGAGACTCGATTTTTTTCTTTGTCTAGGATCTCTAAAAATTGACGCCCAGGGAAATCTTCACAGGGTTGTTTTCAGAATTTTCTCAAGAATTTCCACGGAATCGGAATTTACCAGCTGACTGATATGCCGCCATGTTATTGAAACCAACATTTGAAACGTCACAATTCAAGTGTGAACTGCAAAAATGGCGTGACTGGATTGTCTTATTTATATGAAATAGAATTATTTTCCCTTTTATGCCATATAAATGGTTGACTTCGTGGTAGAAAATCAGAAAATAATGCTCTATGAGTTCTAAGTTTATGTTTAACAAAACTTAAGCAAACATATTAAGAATATCGGAAATATCAGTAACGCTTTTTTTTAAATTCAGACTTAAGGGGGTATTCCCGATCTTTTTTTTCAAAAAATCAAATTTTTTTTTTTCACGTTTTTTTGTACTTTAGTCTATATACTTTCATCCCCCCAAGCCGTTTTCCGATCAGCGAATTCGGTGTCCAGGCATAGCTGACTAATGGTAAGAACCCCCAAATGGTTTTAACTAAAGTCAAAACTTTAAACGCGTTTTTCTCGAAACCACATTTTTTTTATCGGGCGAAGATTTTTCTCAGAAACTATAAGAGATATTGACTTGAATCTTTGCGCATTTTGTTCCTTATTAAATTCTTTGGAGCTTCTCCCACTTCCAGCCAAAAATATTAACATTTAACATTGTTTGAAGCACCTTAAAGCTGAAAAAAAGCGGGCTAAAAATCGCCTGTTTTTTCATCTGGCCGCCATTTTGTTAATTTGCAAGATTTTTTGCTGCCAACGGGAGAAGCTCCAGAGAATATTATGCAGATTATTAATTTCATCACGAAATCTGTTTCAGATGAAGCCGTTCCGAGAAAAGTCTTCGCCCGTCCAGGCGTTTGCGGCGAACAGGGGTCTGTTTGCCGCCATTTTGTGACGTCAATAATGTCTTTTTTTATGTCGAAATTTTTTTATTTGTAAACTTTAATGTTCAATAAACAAGAATTCCAAAGAGTTAGGCGCATTACTATTCATTTTCCTTAAAAAAAATTAATTGAAAAACAGGCCGAAAAAAGGCAAAAGATTGGGAATACCCCCTTAATCTTCTATTTAAAGGCCCGCAGCGATGTTAGCTCCGGTCAAGGCAAGGCAAACAAGATAGGGTTGCCACCTAGCTGGAATTTACTCACTGTTCAGCTCAGAATTATATCTAGTATTCTGATCTAATTTGCTCCATAATACTTTAGAAATACTCTGCAGAATGAATTTATCTTGAAATTCTCTTCACATTGTTAATAATTCTAACAATATCCCTCACGATTCTCCCGTGGAATTATTCTAAAATTCTTCTCAGCATTCGCTAAGTGCTCTCTCAATTTTTGTTGGGAGTTTGGAGAAGGTTCTGGGGCATGGTTGGACATGTTCTGATGTTCTGAGATCTTGATCGAATTGAGAGAACTTGGCAAACAACAATTATGGAACTTCTAAGATACTAATGTAACTTCGTAGAAGTTGAGAACACTGGGCTAACTCTGGATGCCCTACTGTCCCCTGGATTCGGACAAAGAACTAGGAAATTCTGCCAACTGACTATCTTTGACCCACAGTGAACCACGCTACGACGTACACTTAAGAAACGAGAAACGAAACAGTTGTTCGAGAATAAATTTAATAGGGATTACGGCAGCTCTGCTTCGCGAGAGTGAATTTCATTCAAGCCGCGCGTATGGGAAAGACCCTACTTGCAAAATTGATTCGAACTGTCAGACAAAGTCGCTACCACCCTCGCCGTCTTCCACCCGACCCAAAGAAAAATAGACATAAATATTTAGGTTTCGCTTCATCGCCCGCCGGCGGGTCAACAACCAGGAAGAAGTGCAGTTCCCGGTGCTGCTGGTTTGATGAAAACTTCCACCATCACTATTCGACCGTTGGGCGGTGGTGTGACCCGTATGACCACCTCATGAATCAAAAAAGCAAAACTGCAATCGTGATAAAAACGAAAAAAATAAATAAAATGCACTGCCAGCCAGAGCGAAGCGAAGAAAGCTTTCACCATGGGGCGACATTCGGTCAACATGGCCGGTCGGTTGGTACTAACTCGAGCATGATATGTACAACGAACACGGTATCAAAGCGAAGGGCACACATGTGAATTTTATGCTAATGTTTATATTTAAATGCAGAGGCACACGTTGATCGTGTTCTGCCGTTGGCTCTGTTTTATTCACTTTTTTTTTGGGTTGGTCCATTTTTTTTTGGTGCCGAGCCGACCAACTTGGCGAAGAGAAATGAAGGGCTATAAATTTTCAATGAATGCTCTGGTTTGAGATTTTTGGCAAACAGAGTGCCCGGGGTAAAGGGCTGACCTGCCCTTTAAAGCTATGATTTTAGGCAATTGTGATGGAATTTATACTGAAATCATACGGGCCTCGGCTGTTTTGAAATTCTTCATAAGTACAGAAACAGAATGACATATTCAACGACTATAATACTGCAGAATCAAACAAGGATTCTTTGCGCATCAAAGTCGTCCAGCATATGCTTTCCATTCAGCATGATGTCAACAGCCGTTCCCTGTACATTGATTTAGCCACTCCTAATCTGAACGACCGGAAGCTCGAAATTTCGCTTGTCAAAACAGCCAGCGTTGGATTACCTCATCAACTCAAAATTTACGATCGTTGTTTACCGATTAGGTTCGATTGTTGCACCGTAGCCACCTTTTCTATCGCTCATAAATCAGTCAAAAAGTTCACGAATTCATCCGATAGCCCGAAGTTTGTCGCCCCGAAAAAGCAATTTCAAATACCACCTAGTTGAGAATTCTCCTCAGGAACCAGTTACGCCAGGAATTCCTTAATCGCACCCTGCTCACTTTCATGCTTATTCGTTCTTATGGGCCCGACAATGGACTAGAATGAATAAAAAAATAGACGAAACAGAAACGGGCTGCCGAATTTAAATATCGATTAATTCCCTACGGAATGACTAACTCGGACTCGTAGCGTAAACTGAAACCGAAAACAAGAATGCTCTAGATTACCTCTTCCATAAATCTCCGGCTTTGCATCCTCTGCTACTGCTGCTGCCACTGCCGATTCTAGATCCAAACTGCTCGCACGAAGAATCGATGACGATGCACTCGAATTAAATAGATCAATAAATACTACTGTAAACACTAACACATGAAGCAGCGAGCCCCAAACATTGCCACCACTCGGTCGCCATCGGCTGCGTGGCCTATTGGGACTGGGACGATGTTCAGCTTCTGCTAATGGCCCTTGCCGTCGTTCTGTCGCCAAACTGCACTGGCCTATTAGTACTACGGCTCCTGCTGGGGGCTCATCATCCGATGCTACTGATGATGATGACGACGACGACGACGACGATGCTTCAGGGTCAGCCTCGGAGCCACCGGCCATTCCCGAACCCATCGAATCCCAACGGTGGCCTTCTCCAACAACAAAAACAATTCCCCGTTCATATTCGTTGCCGTCGTCGTTGTTGCTATTGCTAGTAGATTCCTTTGTTTTCATCGGCGGCGACAAAACGGTCGCCGTGCCCAGAAACATGATCTTATCTTCTTCCACTAGAAGTGGCACATACGCACACACCCTGCTGCTGCTGCTGATGGTAGTACTGCTGCACTAACTGCATTTGCACTCTGCACTTTCTCGCTCTCGCGCTCGTTCCACCCAGTGATCTCTCGCAACCACAGAAAATCAAATAAAAACCACACAATCTTTCACTACTTTTCGGGTTTCTCCACTTTTCTCTTTTTTTCGACTGCCTGATAGGATTGCCTTTTTCACTACTTTCTTCCAACAACTAACTTCCTCCTTCTCCGATCAAAGACCTCCACACTTCCATCAACAAAAAAACTAAGAACCAACGAACGCTTCCACCGTCGCACTCTTCCCATCCATCATCATCCGAGGGCACTTCTCCTTCTTCTTTTAGAATATCCCCAGCACAAGCACAAAAACGATGGAGTAAATCCGCGGGGCAGCTAACTAAAAAAAAGAAGACCAAAAAGCGACGGCACGGCGAAACAACACCAGCACTAGACACGGCGGGAACAGAGCAGAAAGGGTGCGTCCTCACTCGAACGCAAACGCTACACATCTGAAGTAGTGTAGAAGTCGGATTCACGGATCGACAAAAGTGCGATTCGACAACAACAGAGAGCATAAATTTACAGCCCAAACATAGCACCAACACACGCGGAGAAAACCGACTGGCTGGAGGAGCTTACAAACACCAAAGCGACAGGAGTGTAGCACATAGCAGTGCTGGCAGATTATCAGAGGCTGAGAAAACCATACACAATTCAGGCATAACATTTGATAACGGCACAAAAGCATTTGTAAACAAACTTTCTAAAACCCTTTAAACGCGAATCAAAGTACGCCCACGCAAATCAATACCACTTTCGGAAAGGTGATAGTTACCCCTATTTTATGATGTTGTTGGTTTGCGTGGGCGTACTTTGGTTCGCGTGTAAAGGGGGCTTGAAGTTTGTTTACAAATGCTTTTGTGCCGTTATCAAATGTTATGCCTGAATTATAGTCGCTATTGGCAAATCCAAGTTGGCACTCGTGGAGAATAGAATAACTATGAAAGTGATGATGGTTTCAAAATTTTCCAACGGGGAGGTATACGAGTGCAATCTTAAAATGCTTTTATTTTGCAAATGGAGCATTTTATTTAAATCTGGTTGCTGCTATAGTTGTAGAAAAGTTGAAATCTATGCATACACCTTAAAATCTGAAAAGAAATTATTTTTTCTATATTATATATCTATTGAGTAGTCCTTAAGTTTTCTACTAACGTAGCATCAACCAGATTTAAATAAAATGCTCCATTTGCAAAATAAAGGCATTTTAAGATTGAACTCGTATACCTCACCGTGTAAAATTTTGAAACCATCATCACTTTCATAGTTCATCTATTCTCCACGAGTGCCAACTTTGATTTGCCAATATAGATCAGTGCACGGTCCCTAACCTCACTTTTTGCTCCCTATCATTTTGCTTCTGAGTAAAAGAGATAGCAACGAATGGGAGCCAAAACAAACCACCCAAAACTGTCAAAACTTACGGGTGAGAGAAGAGTGCGGCAAATCTTCGTGAACTGATCAATTCCTGGGGGGGACGTGCTGTCAAATCAGCCTACTGATCATTCTTGTATGAAACTAGCTCCAAACGTAAACAATCGCTGTAGGTTTCTTATGGCTTGTTTGCCTTTGGAACCAGTTATGCGAGGCATGCGAGGTAGGCGACGATTGTTCGTATTTGACAGCTACCTCCCCCCCTTGCTATATTCATAGTCTCGTGGATAAGATCTCAGAAACCAATTCTAGAGTCCCTTTTGATTGGGTCGTATGTAACAAATGTAAACAAATTGACATTTTAATGCTACCAGACACTACTCTGCTTACTCTTACTATAGGTAAAATTTACTCCCGCTACCTCATTTCTGTTTCATTTTATCATCAAAAAACTATTCGTCGTATGTGTCAACTGACCAAAACATAGCTCAATTTTACATACGACACCTAACTTCTATGGGGGTGTCAATCGTCGTATGTAACAAATCTGACAGAAGCGTAAAAACTGTACATAAGACCTGTTGTTTTTTCCTAACAAAAGTGCAAATTTTGCAAATATTCAATGTTAAACGGTTGTGGCTGGTCTATAAAAATATAACTACGTTTTTTGTGAGTAATGACTCATAATAATACATTTTTAAACCGCTAAAAAGCGCACGGTCGAATGTAAAAACACGGCATGCAAAAGGTCGTATAATATTGATTGGTTAAAAAACGTTTGATTTACAACAGAAACGCTTTCAATACCTTACTCAGTTGATAGCAACACTCTTGAGATGTTAGTTAATGGGAATTTTGAAAGAATTATCCTTCTCATTGAAAATAGAAACAATTTTTTGTTCACGAAAACAAAACACCCCGTCTCTCTAATTGACATAAATGTTACATACGACCCAATCAAAAAGGACTCCAGAATTGAGCTGTTAAAGAGCGGAACCAATCGAGCAAATCACGACCAACAACAGAGAAGAGCACATCAGCTATTGCGAACAAAACTTCGGAAACCGTTTTCTCGTGATTCAAGGCTCGCCTACGCAAACTAACGATTCCCCTATCCGATGATGCCGGTAATTTGCGTTCGATTGTCGAGGAAAGAATAATCGACGTTTTGTTTACAAAAGTTGATAGGACCTTTTCAATTGTTCGTCTACAATACATTGAATTGGTTCCGCTTTTTGATAGATCGTAATTCTATCCGCCAGACTATGAATATAGCGACTATACACACTAAAGCCCTACAGTAAGTAAAAGTATGAACGTCTGTCAAAAGTTGTTCCAATCGAACCGTCAAAATGCACCGCTTTGCTCGATTGGAACAGCTTTTTTTTCAGTTTTGTGGTGACAGTCGTCCATACTTTCACCACAAACGAAGTGACAGACGACTAACTGGCGAAGAAATCCATTAAAATAATGTGGTTCACTGTAATAGAATTTTCTTGAAAGCTTGTGCCATCATCCGCCAGATGGGTTAGTTTTTTTGTTTTCATTTGAACAAAGTTGATTTTGTGTACAATGATTCTTTGACAGTGTGCATTTTGTCATTTGTCATTTTTTTTATGCATTTCAGTTTTGAGTAGAGTGAAAGAGATAGAACCAAAACATTCTAATACTTTTGGTGAAATTGCTAGTTCAATCCAGTAGTAGTGTTGCCATGTGGTACAATCCAGTAGTAGTGGTGTTGCCATGTGGTACACTGAAAAATTGAAATAGCAGGTTAGTCACCAAAGTTTTCGAGCCGCTCCGTCTGTCACTTCGTTTGTGCTTTTACTGTAGGGCTTTAATACACACACCTGGCGATCTAACGATGACATACAGCACCGCTTGTGGCAAATAGGAGAACTAGAAAAATGATGATGGCACAAACGAAGTAACAGACGGAGCGGCTCGAAAACTTTGGTGACTAACCTGCTATTGCAATTTTTCAGTGTACCACATGGCAACACCACTACTACTGAATTTGTACCATAGAGGTAACTCTAAGACCAGAAGGTCCCGAAGAAACGTGCTCAACTTTTTGGCTCAGCTCTGCTCAGTTGAAAAAATTAATTCTGTAACGTTTTTGCAAAGATTCTGCTGGTGTTCAGGAATATTTTTGTTGAGAAAAATGGAAAATTAGAATAGTGCCTTAGTGGTTATGATCTTCCGGATTTCTTGTGTGTGAATAATTAAGGTACAAATCAGTTCAGATCTGTGGAAAATCATACAATAAGACAATTACCGATGGAAATTGGCAAGGTATTGAATTAAAAATACTTTAATTTGTGTTGTGAAAAATAGTTATTCTGATGTAAACAAACGGTTTGGTTGACGTTTCTTCTCGAACTCGCGTGGCGCACTCTACGTTGGTGGTGCATTAAAAAGGCCTATAGTGTACGCCGATTAAACATCAAAAAGCTCTACACTGTTGGTGTAGTGTACCTACATGCTTCCATCAAAATTTAACATAGACACATTAAGCAACGCTACTTCAGTGTCTGCTTAAGTCAGCATTTTGGCATAACCAGCAAGTATGGGAACGATTGCCTCCATCGTGTCTCACCGTAAATTGTTCAACTAAAAATGACTCCTCGTCAGCATGTTTCAAATCAGGTAGCTGGTTACTATGCATAGAAATAAAGACAGCACATTCTAACTCCAACATCGGTTGTGTCCAGTTGTACAAAGATATCACATCCACGTACCGATAAGTTATCGGTGAAGTTTCATCTGGGGCTGACTCGCTGGAAGCGAGTTGGGCCCCCCAAAAATATTAATTAACCCGGATGCCACATTGGTAACCGATGTCGTTTGGTAGCCAAGTTAAACCAACCGGTGAACACTCGTGTTTGTTTCAGTTACCGTGGGGACGTAATTTGTGATTAGCCCCGGTCCCTTTCAAATTGTATCATTATTTATGACGGTCCTTCCCGAATAGAAATTTACATTAGCCCAACGTTTGATTTTGATGTCTACATCAGCATCGAAATCAAATGTATGCCTGATGTCAAACATTAGAAAACATTATGATTTAGTTGTATTTAAGCAACGTAACATGGTGTATACATCAGAAATTTTGGAACAAAATTTTGCCATTCTAATGTCGGTCTGACGTCAAAAATTTCAATCTATTGACATTAGAATCAATCGTTTTAAGGATGTTTTCAGATGTAAAAAACGTTAGAACTAAACGTTGTTCGGATGTTTTTAAATGTAAACGTTTTCTGATGTTTTCTAATGTAGATGTTTCCTGATGTTAGAACCAAACGTTTTTGGATGTTTTCGGATGTACATAACGTTAGAACTAAACGTTGTTCGGATGTTTTTATATGTAAATGTATTCTGATGTTTTCTAACGTAGATGTTTCCCGATGCTAGAACCAAACATTTTTTGGATGTTTTCGGATGTACACAACGTTAGAACTAAACGTTGTTCGGATGTTTTCAATTGTACTTCGTGTTTGTTGTTCTCTGATGTTTTCAGATGTACAAAACGTTTAAAGTTAACGTTGTTTGAATGTTTTCAAATGTAGATGTTTACTAATGTTTTTAGATATACAAAACACTAGAATCTTACTTTTCAAATGCTTTCAATTATATTTACAACACATTAGAATTAGAAACATGATCGTGTAAACACTACACACCATTGTTGTTAGATAACATCATAAAAATGCGTACATAATAGTCAATGCTGAAGCTCCCGTTTCCCACCAGTCAGATAACTGACCTTAGCTAACCAAATATCATTGCGGCAACTCTCTATGCGGCAGGGGAACTATGCCATTAGCGCGCTAAGAGTTATTAGACCACTGACATAGGCGCCAATTTGTAGGTGACGAGGCACTTGGTGACATTACAGCGAGCTTGACGATTGTTGTAGCATTTTTTTAGCAAACTACCAGTTAAGGTGTGTAGTGTTTACAAGATCATGTTTCTAGCTCTAATGCTTTGTACAATTGAAAGCATTGGAAAAGTTAATTCTCATGTTTTGCATAACCGAAACCATCAGAAAACA